GTGGCCAATACAGACCTCCCCCAGGCACACAGATGAGCTGAAGGACCTCCAGGATTTCTAAGATTGGGCAGCATCTCCATGTGCGTGCATGTCTGGGGAGCATTCCCTTAAGCACATCTCTGAGACGTTACTTTTTTTTACAGGATATGCACTGGCAACCCTGTGAGCGTAGGTAAGCCCACCAAGCACCCCCCTTAATAAGCCCATAAAGCCCTTTCCTTCCCTTTTACACCTCACACAACCTACTTGGGTGCTGCTCAGCAGTGACCAGACCCTTCTTTTCCTGCAGCCGTGGTCAGCGGCGGCGGCACGGTCGGTGAGTGCCGATCCCTATCAGGAATCGGTGGCAAATGTTCTGTGAAGACTGGAGCCAGCTCGGGGCTGGGTGGGGTGGTCTCATCCTTTGGGGTCAGCGGTGCTGGATTCAGTGCTCGCAGCGTGGACTGCGTCCCCAGGGTGGGGGGTGGCTTTGGAGCCCGGAGTGCAGCCAGCTGCGTGGGGCGCGAGGTGCTGCCCGGTGCTGATGGGCTGCAGTGTGCAGCCGGTGTGGGCAACCTGGTGTGTGCTGGAGTGGAGCAGTGCAGCCCCGGGGCTGTTATCATCCCAGGGGCGGGGGTGTGTGGAGGGGGCAGCCGGTACAGCACGGCCGTGCGCGTGGTCAGAACAAGCCGGTAGGTAGGCAGCACCGCGTTGTATTGAGAAAGAATCAGCATTTCTGCAGTAAAACAGTATTCCCCTTCCTTCTAACAGCTGAATCACACAAGCATGCATTGCACACGCAGTAAGGTCGGTAGCTCTGACAAAAACATGGTGGTTTTTTGAATGGTCACCACTCACCTTCTCTCACGTGGTGCTCTGGGGGTCAGCGGACCCCCAGGTCTCAGGCAGGCGAGATTTGCATTTCAGTCTGCTGCCTTCATGGCTCTTTCTGCTCAGCCCCTTTTCTGAGGGATTTCTTGTCCCTCACACAGCAATTGCAAAAGAACAAAAAATTTGCTCATCAGAAAGAGCAGCCACATCTTACACTGCCCCAGATGAAGCCGCATCTATTATTTAGCTCCTTTAATGACACCTGAAAATCCAATTTTTCCTGTTTACGAGAAGGTTGGTAATGGTTATGTAAATGGGCCCAAGTTGCTACACCAGGTTTGGCAGAGCAGATTTTAATTACACGCCGACGAGCACCTTATATTTCTGTAGTTAAATGCATGCATTGTTTTTCCTGTGTGTGTACCAGATAAACGGATTTAACGCTTTTAATGTGTAAGTGAACAGTTGATTACCCTTCGCTTACTCCAGACTTTCAGCTGTACCTTCAATAAACTACATGCATTATTCAAGCCGCGCTCCACAGGTTTCATTTCCCTCCCAACATTACCAAAGCAGCGATGTCTTCTCAGACATGAACCTCCAAATGGGTGGAGTTTGTAGTTTGCAAAGTTTTAACTAAGTCCTTAGGCTGTCTGCTCTCCTTCCCCATGCACTTTTGCATAGCTCTGTTCCATCAGAGGTGAGTGAATACACAGCATCACTCAGGACATTGGGATCTCACACGCTGCAGGCAGAACGCAAAGCAGGCAGGCCCTTGTTTAAAGCAATCAGCAAAAAAAAAAAAAGAAAGAATCCCACACCCCACCCCTGAAACCCTCTCGCAAGAGCAAGTTAATTTCTAAATGAAACAGATGTCTGTCTTTGCAAAACATAGCACAGTGGTGTCCTCAAGCACCACACCTTTAAAGCACACAGTCTGCACCAGGGTCTGCAGGATGCACAGGGAGGGATGAGCCCTCAGTGCCCTTTTAGGCACTTGAGTTTGGGTGAGGTCAGGCTCCCTGTCCCTTTGCTCTGTGCTGGGCTCCTGTTCCCAAGGCACTGCACCCCTGGAAGGTCCCCACAGCACAGCTGGATGCACAGCTGGATGCCAGGAAAGCCTCCATCCCCACGGGTGCAGAGGGATTGCATTGCTCCTTCCCATCTTCCCATCAGTTAATAGAGGAGCATTGCTTCTTGCTATCTCCCATGGGCGCACAGAGGGGCATTGTTCCTTCCCATCTCCCAAAGGTGCGGAGGAAACATTGTTTCTTCCCATCTCCCCATTCCCAAACGCATGGTGCCCCCTGGAAAATCTCACAGCACAGCTGGAATAGTTTGCTGTGTGTGTGCTTGGCACAGCTGCATGCACACCTGGATGTGGACAAATCAGTCATCACCATGGCTCCCACACTCCCCCCCTCCCGTTCCCCCCCCAGGACATCTCTGCTATGAGTTTCCTTTTGGAGAAACCCATTTGGAAGCATCTCAGGGTGCAGGCAGGTTAATTTACCTCTGTAATGCAAACTGAAGAGGAGTGAGTATTGCAATTTATTTCCCACTCCACTTCCTTGGCTTCACTGCTGACTCATGGCATGTCTGCCCCATCCTTCCTGCATCTCGCGCCACAGATAGGGAAACAAAACCATTCAGGCTTGGTCTGCCCATAGTTTCCAACAGGGGCAATCACCCCTGCTGCCCTCATGCTGCATTTGGGCTCGTTGTGACTTGCAGAGATTTTCTGCTGGGAAGTAAGGAGGTACTATGGGATGTGCTCACCTTGGAACTGATGGCTGATTAATTTTTAGTGAACAGCACGACTTAGCAGCAATCTGGGCTGTGGAGTGGTGGAATCCAAAATGATCAACCCTTGCAGAAAAGGCAAAACCCACCCAGCTAAAGGCAGTATCTTCCCAAATGGTTATCTATGGCTTTTCTGACTCAGTGTTCACAACTCGGACTCCATCTCGTTTGTATGTAAAACATCCAAACGAGCTGCCGGTGCCCCAGCAGCTCATAATTTATGTTGATCATTTCCCTGCAAAGAAAAACTGCACAGCAGCAACCAGTTGCTCCCCACGGTACCAAAGCAGCCCGGCATCTCTCACGTTTCTGGGTAAAAACCTTTCATCTGCCCTGCCTTTCTCAACTCCATCTACTGCAAAACCCATGACTCTTGCTGCTTTCCTGAAGGAGAAATAAAGGTCAGGAGTCCAGGCGTAGGATTTTTGGGGCTATTTTGGGGCTAAATCTTGCTGGACATCACTCTAGATGTGAACCTTTGTTGGAGCTGATCTGAAGGGACAGATGTGAAATGCCACATCTGGGTGTGGAGCCCACGACCGACAAGAAATAGGGCCTTTCCTCCAGCCCTTGCATTGCTCGCATGCCTTGAAGACAGTGGGCTGAAGGGAGAAGAGTGTGGGAGCCCCAGCTGACAATTCCCTCTTTCTTCTGTCAGCCGCACCCTTAATGCCATTATATTCATTCAGCTATAATGTCTGATCCGAACCCGTTTGTCAGCTTCAGGACAATCAGCCTTCACTGGGGTCAAGCCAGTATGAAGACAATCTAATTTTCCCATCACACCGAGGCTTTGAATTTTATGCAAATAATGAAGGCAATGGGTGTTTGTGGATTTCAGTAGTATCTCAGGTAGCTTCAGCTCAATGAGCAACCCAATGCACTCCAGCCCAGCAATTTCAATGGGAAATTCAGCGTGAGCAACCAACTCCCTTGGTCCGAGCCAAACTGGCAGCATTTATCCAGGGATAATTGCAGATGTGGTCTCGTGTACGCAGAAGAACACCAAGCACCTGCTTAATTTCTCTTCCAGTGAGACCTTAGCTCATGCTTAACAGCTCTGCAGTGCTGGGGCACATGAGCATATTGCAGAGGGCATGTGGAATCCTGTCCTGCAAATGCAGAGGCAGATGTTTAAGCGCCAGTCATGCACACAGCATGGGATATCCACCAGAACAACGAGCTGAAAACTTAAATATGAAGAACAAAATATTGTAAACATTGCAGTTCCCTAAAAACTGAGAGGCCAGAAAGTGCCACCACACCCCGCCGGCTTTGCTCTTTTTCCCAAGGACTTCAGAAAGTAAAATAACCAGAAGTTGTGGGAGGATTTTTTTCATGCCGGTTAAATCTTTGCTTTTGGCAACATTTCGAAAGGTTCAAAGATCTTTCAAAGCAATTGCAGCTGTAAGAGAGCTAGAAACTCAAGACTGATTGCTCCGAGTGCTAAGCATGCAAATCACGCAGTTCCACAAATTTGGGCAAAACATTGTTTCGGAAAATTTGCCTCTTTCGTTGACATGTTTTTAGGTTGAGGTGGAAATGCATCACAACAACATCACCTGTAGGCTGGGAGCAGTGCAATGAACACCTCTGGGTGGATGGAGCTGTCTGATGGATTTACTGGTATCTCCAGAAATGCATCCCAGAAAATCTGCCACAGATGAAATACCTGACATTAAATGGCCAAAATGTGAGATGACACCGAAATGCAGCAACTCAGAGGCAAATGATGGATTGGATCTCGCTGTGCTTGGGTCTGAATCAGCTCAGATTGGGTCTCTGCCTGATGAGTGTGAACAAAAATGACAGGAGAGAGTCCTGAGGAGGTGTCAGCCCTCATGAACATCACTCTTTCAGTGGGCCTTCATGCAGCAAAGTCCCATGCAATATTTCCCTTCAGCTTTACTCATTTTAATTTCACTGCCTTTCACTTGAGTTACTTTGGAGGAATCTCCACTAAGCTCTTTGATGATCTACTGCACTTAAATAAGGCAGGGGTATCTGGGTAGATATTTCTCTTCTTCATCTTTTTTTGTTTATTTTCTTTTGCTTCGTAGGGATGAAATAAAACAAGGCATCTGTGCAAGCATGCTTTGCACAAAGGTTGAGTGATTCTTGCCAGAAATCAGTTAGGTAACGCTTCTAGCTGAGCAGCTTCACGCTGTCTCCAAGAGGTGTGTTTGGGTGCAATCAGTTTAACAAGTTTCAATCAGACAGCTGGCTGCCTGGCACGTCAAAACCATGAAGGCTCTGAGTTGATCTCTGGACTTCCATGCAACCAAGCCCAGATCCTCAGGGGGATAAAAAGGGCCTTCCTGTGCTTGCTCCTCGCACAGAGCTGCCCGCTCCCAGATTGCTGCTCCTTCTTGTGACCTCCTGCTGCCATGAGCCGGCAGACGTACAGCACCAGAGCTGGGGGTGGAGGGCGGTCGTACAGCGCTGCTTCAGCCATCATTCCTGGGGGCAGCAGGGCTGGCTTTAGCTCGGTGTCAGTGGCACGATCTGGAGGAGGTGGTGGTGGCTTTGGAAGGCTCCTTGGAGGAGGAGGAGGAGGAGGAGGTGGCAGTGGTGGTGGAGGTTTTGGCAGCAGGAGCCTCTACAGCCTCGGTGGTTCCAAGAGGATTTCCTTTGGTGTTGGAAGCAGCTTCCGGAGTGCTTTTGGGGGTGGTGGATCTGGCTTGGGAGGTGGCAGTGGTGGTGGCTTTGGTCTTGGTGGTGGTGGAGGGGGTGGTGGCCTTGGACTTGGTCTTGGTGGTGGTGGAGGTGGCAGTGGCCTTGGACTTGGTCTTGGTGGTGGTGGAGGTGGCGGTGGTGGCTATGGCTTTGGTGGAGGTCCTGGTGGGCTTGGCTTTGGTGGACCAGGAGGCATGGGGGGATTTGGAGGGTTGGGTGGTGGCAGGGGTCCCGTGGGATTTGGTGGCCCTCCTGGCATGGGCACCATCCAAGAAGTGACAGTCAACCAGAGCCTGCTGGCACCCCTTAACCTGGAGATCGACCCCAACATCCAGCAGGTGCGCAAGGAGGAGAAGGAGCAGATCAAGACCCTCAACAACAAGTTTGCTTCCTTCATTGACAAGGTGAGATGTCATCAAGTGCTGTGGAACTGTGAGAGGGAGCAAGACAGAGCTATATCTACAAAAATACGGCTTCAGGAATCTTCAGTCTCCTGTATGTTTCCTAAATATATGTCAAAAACTAATATACTTCTCAACAGCTACAAGGCAGAAAATGAGATATTGAAAACTAGAGGCTTAGATTCAGGTTTTGTTCCTTGAAAATAAGACATGCTAGTTCAAATGTTAGTAAGCCAGTTGCTTAAACAAACTGTCTCTGTGGGGTATCATAGCAGAAGTGTTGGTCCTTATGTCCAGTTTTATTGCCTGCAAGCTAAAGCCCTTTTTGTATAGACTTTGTATAGTTCTTTCTCAGCTTTTCTTTGGATAAATACCTTATATATAGTATAAATGAGCAAGAGACAAGGCAACTTAACTGCCTTTCACCTGTCTTGTAACCTTAGCCTTAATGAAGGAAGATAAATATCACCTACAAAGAAGGAAAAAATGATTTTAAAGAAAGCAAGTAGTGAAGGAGCTGAGCCCACATTTTGTGACGATTGCTCACCAGCTTGCTGAATTACATTATCTCTCATTAGAACTGTCCACTAATGGAAAATTTGCTTAGCTGCTGGATAGGCTAACATAGCCCTAAATAGTCCAGGTGATACTGACAACTGGACTTAATGCTCCTGGTTTGGGATTTACTGTATCTGTGCTGTGCATCAGTCTCAGTTACTGACTCTTGGCCATCAGCGTTTATCTTCTGCTAACCCCTTCTGCTTCCCAATGCCCAGGTTCGCTTCCTGGAGCAGCAGAACAAAGTGCTCGAGACCAAATGGACCCTCCTGCAGGACCAGGGTCAGAAAAACAGCACAGGCAAGAACAACCTGGACCCACTCTTTGAGGCTTACATCAATAACCTGAAGCGGCAGCTGGCCAACCTGCTGAGCGAGAGAGGACGCATGGACGGGGAGCTGAAGAGCATGCAAGACCTTGTTGAGGATTTCAAGAACAAGTGAGTGCCTGTTTGGTGGCACATCCAGCAGCCTGGGGTGAAATGTGATGCAAATGGTTCAGCTTAGCATTAGGCAGTAGGATTAGTCTCACTTAGAACTAGTTTTCTCAAGGACAAACATCTAGCCTGAGATATTCATCAAACTTTCTATGAGAAAGGGGAAAAAAGTGCTTTAGTCCATAACATGAGACCGGATGAACCTCTGTGTAAAGCATGGCTCTCACACAGTGCCTCTGCCTGCAAAGCCCCTGCCACCTGGTATGGCAGAAGAGTGCTCCAGCAACATTTCTCCAAGCAGAAAATGCAGGTTCAGCCAGGACATGGCAACTTGTGATGAAACTTGCAAAGGAAAATCATCTAAAGCTGCTTTATGTAAAATGTCACACTCAACCCAAATCATCTTGCAGTCCCACCTGTACAGCTGCTGTGCTTACCAAGGTGTGACCCAGCACAGCTTTCCCTTTACTTTATCCCTGTAGGTATGAAGAGGAAATCAACCGACGCACAGCAGCAGAGAATGAATTTGTGGTGCTGAAGAAGGTGGGTGAGATGAGTTGTGTGGATGCTGAGCCATGCTCAACAAGTGTGCTAACAGATGGGAGATCTCATAGGGATGCATCCTCGTCCTTTAAAGTGGTGTTATGGTTTTAGGAGAAAGGAAGGAAGGGAGTTGAAGAAGGATGAAAGTCAACTCTTTACACCAAACTATGCATTCATGCTTGCTTGAGCAGAATAGACCACGTAGATATAAAGACGCTGAGCAGTGCTGGGAAATGCATGTCCCAAGGCCAGATGGACTGCATGCTGTCCTTATCCTCTAGCAAGGTTACACCCAGCACTTCTCTTGGTCAAGAGATGTTCTCATGGTGGCCTTCCAGGAGCATGTGCCAAGCACAGCTTCTCCAGTCATGCATTACCACTGCAGCAGCCTGTCCCTGAGACTGACAAAATCTTGGCAGAGCCAAAGAAGAGATAACAAGTGCTGCAGATGTCCCCACGGCTGTTCTTTTCCAGGATGTGGATGCTGCTTACATGAATAAGGTGGAGCTGGAGGCCAAGGTGGATGCTCTGACTGATGAGCTCAACTTCCTCCGAGCCCTCTACGAGGCGGTACAGACACCCTCCTCCCCTGACTCTGTCCTGCCATCACCCCCAGGCAGTGACTGCCACTACTGATGGCACTTTGGAGGTAAGTCAGCTGGGTTCCCACGTGCTTCCCCACAGGAGCTGGCTCAGCTCAGTGCACAAGCATCCGACACTGCCGTCATCCTGTCCATGGACAACAACCGGGACCTGGATCTCAGCAGCATCATAGCTGAAGTCAAAGCACAGTATGAGGACATTGCCAACCGCAGCCGGGCTGAGGCGGAGGCTTGGTACCAAACCAAGGTGAGCACTCTTGTAGGTGTATTTGTGGGAAAAAATACTGCTGTCCCAGGTTGTCTAAGCCACCTAGACATCTCTGAATGTTTCCTCTTCCTTCTGAACCCAAGTATGAAGAACTGCAGGCCACCGCTGGGAAGCATGGGGATGACCTCCGCAACACAAAGGGGGAGATCTCTGAGCTCAACCGGCTCATCCAGAGGATCCGAGCAGAGATAGAGAACACAAGGAACCAGGTAGGTACGGCAAAAGAGCCCCATTCTGGGGTCCCTAGGCATTACAGCTCTGCTCTCTGCTACCATTTGCTGAACAGAGACAGCAGCCACAGAGCGCAATGTACCTGGAAGGGGTATCACTGTATCATGCATCAAACCAGACTGGCTTTGCAACTCCAGGACTGTCAGATATGGCTGAATGACCTCAGTCATAACCATTGTTCATAAAGATCCCAGCCAGAATGGTTTTCTTCCTTCACTGAATCATAGAATCACAGAATGTTTTGGGTTGGAAGGGACCTTAAAGATCACAGAACAGTAGAATGGTTGGGTTGGAAGGGACCTCAAAATCTCCAGTCCCACCCCCAGCCATGGACTGGTGCCACTGCTCCCTCCATCAGCGGCCCAGGGACCCATATATGGTCTTAAGCACCACAGGAACAACCACAGCTTCTCCAGGAATTGTGTTGTCTGACTCTTACCCAAAGAGAAAAGCAGCAGTCAGGATTCCCTGTTGTCCTCTTGCAGTGTGCCACCCTGCAAACGGCCATCGGAGACTCTGAGGAGCGTGGGGAGCTGGCTCTCAAGGATGCAAAGGCAAAGATGATGGAGCTGGAGGATGCCCTGCAGAAAGCCAAAGCCGATATGGCCCGGCAGCTGCGTGAGTACCAGGAGCTGATGAATGTCAAGCTAGCCCTGGACATCGAGATTGCGACCTACAGAAAACTGCTGGAAGGCGAGGAGAGCAGGTGGGTGCAGAATTCCTGCAGAAATAAATAGCAAATGTCACTTTTCCACTCTGAGCACGTTGGTCCCCTTGCCTGCATCTGCATTTTGCTCTAATATCCCCTTTATTTGCCCTCCAACAGGCTGAGCGGAGAAGGACTCAACCCCATCGGCTACTGTAAGTACCACAGAGCACATCTTCCGGGGGCCTATTGAAAGTAAAGCTTTGGAAAAAGAGAGATTTTACCCAACTACTCCATATAAGACATTCAGAACCTACCAGAACCCCTAGTGACTTGGGGACAGAAGTTGGGTTCAGGCCCTATGGGCCTTGATGGTGGTGCTTTCTGGAACTGGCTGACCACCAGAATAGATGTCCAACATTCTGGCTGTTTTTTCCTTGCAGCGGTGATCAGCTCCAGCTCTGGCACAGCTGGTGGAGGAGGAGGATTTGGTGGACTGAGCCTAAGTGGAGGTGGCGGTGGAAGTGGATTTGGTCTTGGAGGAGGTGGTGGAAGCGGATATGGTCTTGGAGGAGGTGGTGGAAGCGGATACGGTCTTGGAGGAGGTGGTGGAAGTGGATACAGTCTTGGAGGAGGTGGTGGAGGCTACAGCTTTGGAAGTGGAGGAGGACTTGGACTTGGAGGTGGGGGTGGTCTCGGAGGTGGGTATGGAGGTGGCAGCGGGCTCGGGCTTGGAGGAGGCAGCAGCGGAAGTGGGCTGAGTTCTGCAGGAGGGAATTTCAGCTCTGGGAGCGCAAAAGGCACCAATCCAGGTGTGAAAATCGTCTCCAAAACCTCCTCCAGCAAAAAGAGCATAAAGAGCCAAAGCCTGAAGAATGCCTCGCAACCCGAGTAAAATGATGCTGCCAGACCCTTTCCCCCAAAGCTGCTGCACTGCTCTGTACCGCTCCCGCACCCACCACCTCTCTGCTGTAGTTCTTAAGCATTTGGGTTCCACCTCAGGAAAGCAGCGAGCACGAGCTAACTCGAAGCACCAGAACAGGTTTCAAAGGAAAACACAGGTCTACAAGATTTTTGGAATGGGGAATTTTTTTATTATTATTTTTTTTTTAATGAGGGTGAGCAGCCTGTAATTGCGGCTAGCTGATGGCCCTCAGCAGCACAGATCAAATAGCAGCTCAGACGCAATAACTGGGTTTTGCATTCACTGTTCTGGCCTGCAGAAGCCCAGGGACGGGCTGGGAACATGGCTTCCATCCAGGCTGCTTCTCCCTCGCTGCTGGGACAAATCAAACTCATCCCTTCAAGTCAAGTAACTCATCTTCACACTTCTCCATACATCTGTGGGGGCTTTTTCTGCTATGTAGAAACACTATGGGAGGCTCCTGAAAGATCCCAGGTAGTGGTTTGCAAGCTCAGTGCTCCTCTTAAGACACTGCTTCCAATGGCAACACAGAACCATGAGGAGACACTTCTCAGTCAGTGAGTTTGATGGAAAATATCCCTCTTTTCCCCACCTGTGGCTGAGCTTCGAAAAGTGCATTGCTTCCAGATGTGCTGAGCAACCACACAGCATCTGGAAAGCTCCCTGAGATGTCCACAGAACCATGAACCACTCTCACCTCTGTCCTTTCTCTTCCCAAATGAATGTTTGCCTCATAGCAGCACCTTGCATGTAACCTTGCAGATGCATTTGGTCGCCTCTGATGGATCCCAAGCAGGTGGGAAAGGCCTTGTTCCCTAAATTACCAGATTTTTGGGATTGTTTTAAAAAATAACCAGAGCACAGAGGTTTTCAGTAGATCAGTGTTTGCAGTTGCATTGGGTTGTTGTCTTGCTTCATGCTAGGTTTTGTGGGAATGGCTTAAAAAGTGCTGAAATCACCCCAACACCCAAACCTCACTGACTTCCCCCATGGTGTCGGCAGCAGCAATCAAGGTAAAAGTCTGCTGAGACAAAAGTTCCCTGCAAAAACCCACACAGAGGGCTATGCATCACGTCCATGCTGCTCCAGGGGGACCTCATCCGCTCCATGGGGTATGCATTTCTGGGCCAAAAGAGATGCATTTGGGTAAAAAATTCATTCAAATCTCAGCCCAACACGTGGAAAATGTGGCGATCAGGAGCAGGTGCCAAAGGTGCCCCTTTCTGATGGGATCTGCCCCTGTAGTGCTCCACTCTGCCTTTATTTTGGTGAAAATACCAAAGAAATTTGCAGCTTTTTATACTTCAACAGTAGCAAAACCATTCCAATGCTGTGTTTTCCTTCCTCTCTCTTTTGGGAACGTGTCCAATAAAACAACTGTAATGTATTTGTTCCTGAGTGCTTTTCTTCCAAAGCAGAACCAGCAGAATGAGCCTGCAGAAAAATGAGCAGGGTGAGGATTTTGTTTCACTTTAGGGAAAAAGTTTCAAAACTGAAAAGGAAAAAAAAATTAAATGCTTGAAATCAGGTGTGTGCTGTCTGAAAGTGAATCGAGGCATGTGGAAAAAGAGGAGGAAGGGGGACAAAAAGAAATCAGGCATTGTTTGTTTCTTGGATCATTAGGATTAACTCAAAAGCCTTTCTTCCAGAAAAGAGGGTTTGGGACAGCTCTAAAAGCTCAGGCAAAAGTGAAAAACAGGAGAAATAAAGGTCACACAGTGTTTAATTTTGGCTTTCTCAAGGGACACAGAGTGCAGGGCTCTGGGGGAGGACGTCATCAGGACAATCTGCGCTGAGGGTGGTTTTGGTGATGGAGCAGAGCAGCCTATGACGCCTGCAGGTTTAGTGATTGTAAAAGGGGAAGGAGAAAAAAATAAAAAGAGAAAAGAAAAAAAGAATCCTCAGACAAACCCTCATGCCTTATTGCATTTCAAAGGGCCAGACGCTTTGCTCTGCCCTCACCATCCCCAGGGCAGGCGCATGCACGCAAAACCTCGCCGGGATCCGGCAGCAGCGAGTACGGAAACATCACCCAAAAATCAAAGGAGCTGCAGTGAAAGAGACCAAAATCTGGAGGAAAATCCCCTCTCCTTGGACCCCACAGAGGATGGTGTTTGGGGTAAAGAGGCCAAAAATGAATGAAGGTTAAAAATAAATGGTGAGTCATCTCGGGTTGTGCGCCCTGTGCTAAGGCTGACCTGCAGAGCGTGGTAGGAGTTAATGCAGCTAAGGATGACCTAAACTCATCTCACCTTACATTGGGAGTGTCTTTTATGCCATGGAGAATAAAAAAAAGGGGGAAAAAAGGAAGAAAAAATAGATAGGGCCTAAAAGGGAGGTGGGGATACCCAAAGGGGGCAAACACAGCAGCCCTGGGCAGATACAGAGAGAGCAAGGAGTGAGACAATGCAAGAATTCTCCTCGGGTTCTATGCCTAACCAGCTCACTGAGCCCTTTGTAATATTCCACTTAATTACCACTGTCTGCAGCAACAGGCTTTCCTAGAAGAGCTGGGAGGTAATGAGTGCCTTGCCATGAAGCCTTTTTCTCTTTGTGTTAATTACAACACTGTGCTTGGTTCCCAGGTGTGACTTTGCATAGCTCTAGGAGCCAAAGGCATGCTCCCCGCACTGCTGCTTGGCCCCTGTCCATGGCTCCATCTGCAGCAATGGATCCATCCCCAAGGAATCCAACCTCTGCACACATGCTGTTCTCCCATCACAATTTATTTCATGTCAATAGCCCCAGCAGCATTCCTGGAATTGGCATTAGGATTGGGTTCTACAGTCGTTGTGCATCACTGTGAAACCAGAGCTCCCTCAACTTCGGGATAGGTGGGTGTGGGTTAGGTTTTCCTGCAAAAATTTGGTGTTTTCAATGCCTCCATTCCTGAGCTGAGAGCACCCCCTCGCTACAGCCTGGCCCCACTCCTTCTGCTCACCCCAGTGCGCTCCATGACCATGACTCACATCTTTGGCATCACGCAGTGGATGGCACGGATGAGGGTTGGGAGTGCTTTTATGATTGCAGTAAGGAAATAAATAAAACAAAATAAAATAAATAAATCAAAAATCCCTTCTGCTCAGGTTCTTTCAAGTTCCCAGACAGAGCAAACGGCAGCTGGAAACACATCAACAGAAACAAGCCATGAGATGCCGCAGATACCCCGGAGCGACTCATCCTGGATTATGTTCTGTACTTATTGCTCACGTAGCCAATTTTTTAAAATCTCTTTGATTCAGCTTTATCTCTCTGCCGTGTGCTGTTGGTTTATCTGGCACACGGATGGCAGCTGGGCTGGGTCTGCGCTGCAGATGGGTTGGGTGGGTGGGCAACTCATCCCTTTGGGGGCACAAGAAGAGATGCCATCCACTGCTCCTGCACCATCCCAAAGCCCCACTGCAGGGCGGGTTCACCTGAGCTCAGGATCAAGGAGAAAACCATCCAAGATGATCTCAGCAGAGCGAGGGAGGGGTGGGAGGGAGGTGGGGGAGTAGGTGGTAAGTTCCCCCCTGCTGAGCACAGTGACGTGGAAACTTCGGGTTTGAGGGCCAAAATGGGGGGAGCAATAGAAAACAGCTTCCTTGGGAACTTCTGAGCCTTCAGTTGGCTGGAAGGCTCGAAACAAGAACAACTTCCCAGCAGCTCTGTAATATCTCCTTTGGAAGGGTCAGCACACTATTTAATGCAGTTTCATGTTATTTCAGAAAGGTGAGTCCCTTGCTGTCTTTGAAAGCAACGATAATTGATTTCTCTGTTCCTCCTGCAATGGAGAGAGACAAGTTTTTGCTAAAACAACCAGGAGACATCTCCCACTCAGCCCCTGATCCCTCAGAGCTCTTTTCCAAAAGGGACCAAAAGTACAGAACTGGGAAGGAGACCCACTTCCCCCCTCAGCACTCCCCAGGGCACAAAACTCCAAATCAAGGCAGTCTTGGGGACATCAGCCCCCATTTGGTCACCATGTAACACAACACAACCCCATACCAGGTGGTCCTGGAAACATCAGCCCACATGTTTTTCACTATGTAACCCAACACAACCCTAAATCGGGTGGTCCGTGGGACATCAGCCCCCATTTGGTCACCATGTAACATAACACAACTCCATACCAGGTGGTCCTGGGGACATCAGCCCCTATTATTTTATCTTATTTTTTATTTTTTTGCATTCAGTGTGCTCAACCCCCAATTTCCCCTCGCCTCAGAGCAGGGAAGCTTGCTCCAACGGGTGAGCTTGGCATAGGGAACAGGATCTCCTGGGGCTCTGGGAGCTTCGTGCCACGTCCTGCTCGTGCTGATCCCGTCCAGTTCTCCTTCGGTGACTCAGGGCTCTGGGGGTGGGGGGAGCTCCCTTGCTCCGTTACTTTCTTGCCTGCAAACAATGCATTTTTCAGCGCCTCGCGGTAGCCTAGGTGTGTTTGACAAGGCAAGTTGCTGCAAGGCACGTCAAGTTCTGAATCCCCGTGCCAAGTTTTCCAAGCAGATAAAAGAGGAGGCTCCCAGGCTCTCCCATCACAGGGGTTTCTGTCTCCATTGCCCTCTGCTGCTTCCCTGCTGCTCAACTTCTATCACCAGCTCTTTCCCTCGTTCCTGCTCTTTGCGTTTCCAACTGCACAAGCCATGAGCCGGATCTCATACAGATCTTCCACCGGAGGGGGCATGAGGGGCTTTAGCTCAGGCTCTGCTATCGTGGGAGGTGGCAGTGGCACACGGAGCAGCTTCAGCTCCGTCTCTGTCTCCAGAGTTGGAGGAGGAAGAGCTGGAGGCGGAGGAGGCTTCGGAGCCGGTGGCGGCTTTGGCAGCAGAAGTCTCTATAACCTGGGTGGAAGCAAGAGAATCTCCCTTGGCGGAGGGCTGCGGAGCGGAGCCGGCGCTGGATACGGCTTTGGTGGAGGAGCTGGCTTTGGTCTGGGCTATGGTGGAGGAGCAGGCGCTGCTTTGGGCTTAGGAGGAGCTGGTGGCGGTGGT